CATGACATGACATTTGGACCAGACGAGTGTAAACCCGTTGTCTACTGCCAATCACTTCATTGTTCTAAGGTCCTTTTGGAGATCAAACAAAGCTTTTCACACTTTATGGCTACTTGGCTACGGCACACCATATTTCCCCATCTTCTCGTTTCAATATTGGAGATAATGAATTGCTTTAGTTCTGTTGGAAGTGAACTTGACTTTAGTGAATGCCGAAATAGGTCACATTTCTGCAAATTGAGGGCTTCCATACACCGACTCAGGATTTTCGAACTGATATCGTCACATCTTGATTACCAGCTTGGCTGCAGGAAGTTTACTTTACTTTTTACTAATCTGTGGTAATCGAGTATCCCCAGGTTATCAGCTCGTGCTACGCTGGAGTAGTGCTCTGAGCTGTAGGCTCCTTCCCGAAGTTTTCGGTGAATCTGGCATCACAGACCCCAGCCATTTTCCATTGAGTGAGATCACCACCATTTTGGAACATTGGCTTCTATCATCAACGCAAAATTCACACATACAGGCACATCTACGTTCACTATTTTCTCATTACACATTTTCCCTGCTTCAATCACTGTTCTTCCCTTTGTACTTCATAAATATTTTCGCCACACTCCATGGGACTTCAGACTCGATACACAATCGAAGCCAAGAAAATAAGCGAACTTGTCACAGCTCGTATCAAGCGCGTTTCATATGACCTTTCCCAACAAATTCACGATTGATCTCGGCAAATCGCCAACTATGGTGCACCCTCCTTATTTGTACTCTACTATTGCAAATGTGGCTGTATTATACTGTTTATGTCAGTGACGTGTTGTATATATGCTATCAGAAACAGACTCTAATACTTAATTTAACTGCTATAACTTTTACAGTAATTGTTAAAGCATTTGTGACAATCTGATCTAGCCTGTAAACTGGCGTGATTATTGTGACGTAGTTATTTGAGAATAAGTATATTATTAAGTAGACACTGTCAGGACTACGTACTTCTGACTCCCACAACTTGATTGTAGTGACCAAGAGTTGAAGTCTACTTCACTAGAGTATTAATTCACGAGGCACAATATGAAACCCAGAGAGATTCGATTCCGAGGTTTATGCTCTGTCCTCCATTCAATTGCTGAGGAAGTCTGTGAATTAGCTTCAGGTAAGTCACACATTCAAAACTGAATGCGCACCTGTGTTTTCAAGGCTTAGAAGAGTAGTATTTGATAAGCTTCAAGTTCATAGAGCTAAATTTGACTAAACTCTACAGCTTGGTATCATCCGTCCTTCTGAAAACCAATAAGCATCCCTTCCACACATGGTCCCAAAGAACAACGAAGGTGACCTGATGAAACAATCGCAGAATCAACAAGTCACAAAGAGAAATGTGCAGGTGTGACCATCTCAGTCTACCCACTCCTACTGAAATCTGATATTTGCGTATCAGTCTTCTATTGACCGTTTTATACTAAGTATATAAGCGATTTGCCCCTGAACAATCCAATGGAAATATGGGTAGAAAACAACACAACGGAGTAAAGAATAAACTTCGACTGAGGTGATACCACGCCCGTCAGACTAACCATTTTTTCGTCTACATAGGAAAGTGGTGATTGGAATTGATGCAAGCATCAAACTAAATGCCAGTAAACACCTATTATGAGACCCAAAACTTGGACTCCTGGAAAACCAAAGAATCCCAAAAATAATCCTGCCGAATTAAGTCATTTTACTTGATAACCTACTATGTATGTGGCACTTTATACATTTATATACATTTTACATACCGAATGTCTCAAAACTTCTGTATTCTCTCACACTTTTTACTACCAATTAACTAAATTATCTATCCATTTATTTACTTCGTTTTAAAATCCTCTTATTAGCATTAGGATTTCTCGCTTTATCATTGCTCACAAAGGTATTTACTGCCCCCTCAGTGTACTGCTTTAAGAAGAGACTTGATAATCACGTACTCACATACGGACTATCATCTCCCTCTTGGACAAGCTGTTCATGATGCATATCTTGAGACCTGCTAGTAGTTACCGTTGCCATCTCCTCAGATCACTCAACTAATCTATCTCGCCTATTATCTCTGTTTCCTCTCCCTTGCGTACACTTCGGTCCTCTCTCACAATCCTCACTACCAATCAACAAACTGAACTCACCTATATATTACTCAGTTCTGAAATTTTATACATATTATCATTTCAATTTTATCCTCATTACTCTTATTACCCTCCACATTGCAACTAACTGATCTCCGCTTTGGTAATGTGACGGCTGCTAGTATCCAGAAACCCTACTGCCCTGAAACAAACGTTTCATTCAAGTCCCGAGACATAAAAACTCACAACCAACTGCCAAATGACTAGAATCTGACAGTCGAGTGGCTAGACCTCCATTCATTGGACATTACCGAACACCTGGAACCGTACCGAAAGAACAATAATCGGGCGCGAAGAGATCAAATTGGTTTACACTAGCTCGTGAAAAAGACATTGGATCTCCAGCCTGATAACCTGACAGCTGCTCGGATCTCTATCCTGAAGCGGCAATAACTGTATCGGATGAACAAGGATCGAACGCGGTTAAATAAATCGACCCACACCCGCTTGTCAAAGACACTGATTATGGTCACATTCGCGGTACGCTCTTAATCCCCGCTACTGTTTAACGTGTTAAAGAACTTAAGAAAATTCTCACCCATGATCTAGCCCAGCTAGCAGCATGAAGAAAACTGTAGTTTGACTTTTTTGAGTATCTTTGAAGTTCACAGTATTGCATTTATGTACATATGTATTGTTTGTTGGACGTACGTATATGCCACAGTAACGAATTTTCAACCAACTTAGAACTAGAGACTATTTTAACAGATAACATTCAATAATACTAATGCGTTGTTTCAAGAAACTGCAAACGATTGATTGCCTTTAATTCATTACGTCCAATAAATAAGCGAAGTGTAGGCTGATGTAAGATGAGACTGTCGAAGACTTGACTTATGACAAATTCTGTGTATCGTAATCAATGGGGTAGTTTTTTCGAAGAGAACAAACTTCAGTTTTGTAAAATAAATGCATTAAATGTTCATTACGTATGTTTACTCGACAGAGCAGTACAGATCCGCAAACACAGTGATTTGGTTCGTGACCGATAAGAAGGAAACGAGACAGAATCTAATTAGCAAGATTTCAAAAAAGTTTGACATTGTTATGAAACTCTAGTACAAGTTAAACGACTTTATTGCTTATTTTTTGTATGGGCTAGACACTACTTATGGTGGAGGACATTTAATGTGATTTAAATTGACAATCGTTTGAACAACAAATAACTACATGTAGTACAACTAGTGATATATCTTGTTGGACATACAATCCAAATAAACCGCACTCATCAAGAAGAAAGTATCAACAAGAGAAACGTGTAGACTCTTTTTCTGTATTACAAGCTGATGATAAAACATTCTATGAACTATGTAAACTAGCTAAAACTGGTTTGAAGTATCGGGTATCAATGTTGCTTTAGTTGTTGTTGGTCATTTTCTACTTGTAAATATTTACAGCACTTTTGTTGCGAACGATAAGCCCTGTTAATATATATACATCGACAGTACAGCTAGCTAGATGTGAACAAGCAAAGATAGAACCAGCCAACAGAGTTATTGACAGTTGCACTAAGCCATGTAAGGGTATAGGCTATTTAGTTGGAGAATTGATGTGGTTGAAAAATGGTTAGAATGATACAGAAAAGGTTATTTTTGTCTCAAAATACGTATATTTTTATGTCACGAATGAAGTATTTCTAGTGGAATCATTGTTCCTTTCTTACTACCACTGTCTCCATTTCCCGGACGCTTCATCGCGCGACGCTAATATAATTTGATAAATTTAGTGCACATTGGCTTTATGATCCTCAAGGGACGAATAGCGTATAAGTCTACCATGAGACTGCACCTCCTGACATAGCTCCACTGCCTTTAATCTTTACGCAGCACTAAAGGCTGTCTAACATCTAAGATGGTTGGAATTTATTTCCTGCGCTGATCAAATACTAAGTCTAACACTGAGGACCATCCTGTTTTATGAAACTCAGTGTTTCTTGTCTAACTATATCAACACATTGGGGTGTATGATAATAACGTATTTGCAGCACTGTTTTACAAAACACGTTACCGATTTGTGCTTTATCGAAGTGCCATTACACAGATAAAATCTACATGTTCCTGATAACCCAAGATATTCATAGTGAAATCGTGCACTTAAGAGCCAAACTGTCGGTAAATTGCATCATATAAGTGATCAAAAACCTGACTAGTCGTTTGATTGATCTTGGCTAAAATAGCCTTGAGATCCTTCGAGATATAGAAAGGAAACGATTCGTCAAATGTAGAATTACGACATAAACACTTTGTAGACTAACGACTGTTACTTTATCTATCTAAGCGGAATGTATAGATAAATCTCAGCTGCTCTTAAACTTATTCCAACATATTAGACTTTATAACAAAACTTTCCCTTTAAATAATCCTCAGGCACAAACGAATTTCGATCGTCACAAATTGTCGATATTATCCTACGTTATTGTTTCTAGCGATCCAAAAGATGAAAATCTTAATACTGATTACGAACTAGATGGAAGTTTTGTTTTCCAGTTCGATCGTTCCTATTCCTTGATGGACGGTAAAGAATACTGCAAAAATACGGATTCCGATTTTAATTCGCCATGTGATAGTGAGTTTTCATTCGATAAACAACCGTATACGCCTCTCTTGACACGCAATCAACAAATATGGGTGGAAACCGACGAAGAATTGACCACCGAATTTAATAATAATGAATTTACAGCTAGAAATTCTCAAAGACCCAGTACTAGATGAAATTCATACCCTCCAAATACTTGCTGAACAAGGTTATCACTTCAGAAAAAAAATTAAAAAATATACTTAAGTATTCATTGTTCTCCCAGAAGCATACAAGGAGAATATAGGAACTAAAAACACATACATACAGATTATTTTATTTGTTTTAATAAAGTTCCACAACTACATTTTGATGCTTGATATTAATTAGAAGATTTCTGAAATCCACACATGAAATATTAAAACTAGAAGGAATCACGTTTGCAGAATATCTATTAGGAATATGAATGTGAACGACAGAAATTAAATGTACACACCAAGTGAAATCATTAGTTTATATGGTTTCTTTATAGGAAGTTCCCGTTATGATTACATATACATATAATTATATAAGTTTAATTACACAGTTGAATTTTCCAAGTTCAAATCTATACTTTGTTACTAATACAGACAATAATCCCCACCCTACCAAATAAAAACAATTGATTTTAATGTCAAAATGAAGTTATATTACTCACCTGCGATCTACAGATTTGAAAAGAGTGAGAATTATCGGCTATTAAATCTTTGTCTTGAAGAAATTGTCTGATACACAGAAACGAAATGTATGATAAATATGCATATAACTATCATATCATCTAAAATTCCTATGAAACCGGTAATATCCGGGATAAAATCAAATGGTGTAATCAAATAAAATAAAGCGCAGAAACCCAACAGAGCTAAACGAATTTGCATTAGAGCGACTGTGCCTTCACCACTAAGTAATAATTGTATAAATCCATAAACGAATAACGGAATGTCTCTGATACGATCAATTATCTGAAAAAGAAAAACGGATATTATTAAATCACTGAAACTACTACTCTATAGATAAACTTCATTGCCATAAACACAGCTTAGTAATTGGATATTGATTCGCTATTTAAGGCTAAACACTTGCTAGAAGACGAAGGTTCTTGACTCGATCTGCGAAAAGATCGTGAACATACACTGTTAGAAAATCCCATACTAAGACATAACAACTTCAGTGTTTTTTTATAGTTTTTATTGCTTGTCAAACTAAGGTCAGTCTGCAGTGTAAACAGTGACATTCAACAATCTTAACCAACAACTCCCGCCTAGTGATGATAATTATATGCTATAGGCAAGGTGAACTGCGCTGCAGAAAAACACATTACCACTGTAACTCTACTTTGTTTAGTTGGAGCTTTGAGTAAATTGATGCAAACAAAAATGCTCAAACTTTGATCACAAATAAGCTATTCAAGAGTTAATTTATAATAAAATAATGAATGGTTAAGAAAATTTTAAATAAAGAATTTATTCTCAGCAAATCAACAAAAACCTATGAAATACGTAGATAACACTCTGATTTCAATAAAATCAAACTATCACTAGTGTTACGTTATTGGTGACAACCTAGAAGGTTGAATATATACACTTCATTACAAATGTTAAGAGATATTAGACAATCAGAAATTTGATAAAAGTTGAGCTATGATGTTTTGTCAAGCATCTCCCCTTAAGTTGTTTTTATTTTTTCAAACAAACTAAACCGTATCTTCGTTCGGTAAATTTATCAAATATCAATAAAGATTTGTCTAATCTGAAGTTAGTACTCGTCAAAAACTCTATTTAATCTAACTAAACTAGTGACTGACTTTTAAGGTGGATTTTTGAAGTTCTGCTTAAAAACTATACTGTTGGACAGTCAGGTATATCGGGAGCCAGTTATCTATAATTGATTACTATGGTCATTTGATTCCGGCTCATTTACCCAAACGTTTCATTTTCGGGTTGAAACTTCGTAAGCTATAATTAATTTTCTTGCATTCGACTCTTAAGGTTCAAAGTTTTCTGTTAACTACTTCCAACCACTTGACCTAACATTGAATAGTAATATTTTTGGAGCATTGAAGATGACGAGTTTTTGTGTGTAAATAAATTATCACTTTCACATTGAATAGAATCGGACACACAAAAGAATGAATAACATTGTGGCAAATAGAAAACACATTCAAAGAGAATGCATTAAAGATAACTATGAGTAGGAAAATGTATAATACGAGTGACAGTCCAGTTAACGACATATCAGATAATTCAAATTATCCCAATTTGGGGCGTCCTTTCATTTTTTTTAAAAGGTGCAAAAGTAAATCGCAGCGAGAGAGTCGTCGGTCTCTGTTCTCAGCCATGTCTGATAAAGTCTTGGAAAATGCGCTGCACCATCTCTCAGATCCAAACCAGGAGGTTGTAGATGGATCGACAGATGACAATCCTGTACGATATTCTTTCATATCACGATGCCATGTCATAAACTGACCGACTGCTTTTTCAAACCAGTTGTTGTCGGCATAAGGAGTATAACATGTAAGTCCCACGGATAGCGTTCGTAAAATAAATATCCAAGCCACTGAAGCCGGTGCTCTCAGATGGTGACATCAACAGAATTATCGTCACTGCGCTCGAACATGTAGAGGCTAATCTCAGAATTACTAACAGACTGTCAACAAGACAAACCTCCCGACGACATCAAAGATCACATAGACCTGTAATAAGCTAGTCTGACCTTGACCAAACGTAGACTGATCTCAACAATAGCGTCATCATCAACACTCATACAACCACCCACAAACACGAATCTTATCATTATTTGTAAACACACGGCTAAGCATGAGTATCATCGCACGGTAAGCAAGATATGAGAAGCATACTTATGATCGGGAAATTTTTTTACCACGTGATATTCACACTCCTACTAACTACTCCCATCAGAGCTGTTTCTAGCTCATCGAAAAGTTGAATTTGGTAAACCCTGCCTAATCCCATTGTCGCAATGAAACAACAGAGTTGGTTGCACATTTGGTGTTTGTATGTAAGGGGTTCAATATATATTAATACTTTCAAAAACACCCTTCCTCAGCGAGAAATTATATAGCCCAGTCCTGTCGAGCCAGTCATAAGCAGTCTGTTACCAGGGATTCAACCGAGTTCGATAAACAAACAGGTATATGAAATATCGATACAACTACATAAATAATTATGCAATTAAATGTATTTCACGAAAATTCAAATTTCAAAAAACTATTCTGAATTGTAGTAATTAAGATTAAAATGCACTTTCCGTTTACTTAATTTGAATAAACTTACTGAAATTGGTTCACCTGAATGCCAACGATTGAATAATCTTATATCTGCTTCAATTCTTGATCGTCTAGTACTTGAGTCTTGCAACTCTTCTTCAGTGAACAGCATAGTTAATGTTGAGACCTGAACATCATAAAACAATAGATAAAACCTATTTTTGAAAATAAATCATCTGCAAATGAATAATAGGTTATGAATTATACATGTTGATTGATAGTTAGACATTATTTAAATGGTTCCACATATGAATCATTGGTTGACTAAGCAAACCACTACAGTCCGCAGAACTAAACAGAACAATTTAAAGCAATAGCAACGTTGTAGGAAAATCTATTGTACGTATTTGTGCACAGATATAACCAAACTGAAAGTCTATTGTTGAAGATATACATATATACTTTTTAAAAATTTATTTGATAAAAAAGAGTAAACATGAAGAAATCAAATCAATAATCACTTTGTGATATTCACTATCCCTACTGAATCTTCATTAGCCACCCAACAAATAACTCTATGTTATAGTATTTTTGGGTAATATTTTATAGATAGCTGGCAAAATAAAATAGCCTAGAAGATGTGAACGTGTAAAACGATTTAGTACTCACGGAATTTTGGAATAACAGAAAAATTTCATACCTGCTGAGGTTTGTTACCCCCTAGTGGAGCATAGGCCGCCAACCAGCATTCTCCAACCAACTCTGTCTTTCCAACTCTTCCTTTCTAGTTCTGTCCAATTGCTGTTCATTCTTCTTACGTCTGTCTCCATTTTTCGCCTTAATGTGTTTGTGGTCTTCGACTTTTCTTTTGGCCTTGAGGATTCCAAGTGAGGCCTTGTCTTGTGACTCAATTGGGCGCTTTCTCCAAACTGTCCTATCCACTTCCAGCGCTTCTTCTTGATTTCTTCCTCCTCTAGAATCTGGTCTGTTCTCTTCAACAGTAGGTTGTTGCTGATGATATCTAGCCAGCGAATCCGAAGTATTTTGAGTAGACAATCGTTGATAAACACCTGTATTTTGTGGATAATGGCTTTCATAGTTCTTCAAGTTTTCTCTCCATACAGTAGGACTGTCTTGACAATTGTGTTGGAAATTCTGGCTTTGGTGTTGATTGATAACTGTTCTGAGTTCCAGATGTTCTTCAATTTTAGAAATACTGCCCTAGCTTTGCCGATCCGCGCTTTCAAATCAATATCAGATTCATCTTGCTCATCAATGAGGCTGTCCAGATATGTAAACTTTTTCACATCTTCCAAAGCTGGTGCATGTTGTGTTGTGTCGGAGAATCCTGATTTTACCTTTGTGCTTGTTGAGACCTACTGTTAATACACTATTGGTCTTCTTTTGCATTTGTTGCTGCCGATAGAAGAGCCTTATCATCTGTGAGGTCTAGACAGTCCAGCTGCATCCTAGTTGTCCACTATATCCCATGCTTCCCCTCAGATATTGACGTCTTCATTACCCAGTCGACCACCAGGAGAAAGAGAAAGGGTGAGAGTAAGCAACCTAGACAGACACCGTTCTTCATAGTATTTTGACCATATACTTATCTTAAACCTTTAAATGAAAAACAGATACTGTTTACCATTTTTATCCAAGTTAAAATATAACCATTTGTTCGTTTTGTGTATAAATATAATTTCAAAAGTTTTATTTTTAAAGCATTGAATTACAGAGAAATTTATCGGATTTCAAATACTTACTTAACAAAGCTTGTTCTAACTTGCCTGTACAATATAAACATCATAATCAATAGCAACGTAGAACTTTGTAAGTACGTAAGTACATCAGTTCATGCTGCAATATCACATTAGCACAGAGAGTTGCACTTGTAAGTTCAATGTCCATAGTAATAGAGGTAGTAAAGGTATTAAAAGTAATCGGGTGAGATATTATTCAAAAAGTACAATTTACTGAAATAAACTCAAAAAGAAGATAAAGTGATGAGGAATTCAGAAGGTTAGGATTTGAGAGAACACAATGAATGAATGCACCCGGACCGTTGCAAGCAGTTTTGAGCCATGTCGTTCAAGGTCTCTAACCATCGGTTACTATCTTCTCGCGGACTCCAATCAGGTAGTCTACACATACTATCACGGCTCAATCCACTTGTCAGTGACTTCATGGATTTGTGACATGCTCTGGTTTGGCCGCCTATAGACTTCATCCAGTCTACCCCTACATCACAAAACAACTCTCGTTGAGGCAGTTGGTGGTCAGGCATACTCAACACATGTCCCAACCACCTCAAATGATGAAGATTCAGAACCTCATAGATTGGTCTACCATCCTTACCTAGTGCTCATTTCCTTACAACAACATTGCCAACTCGATTGTCTCAAGATATACAAGCAATGCTTCGAAGACACCGATAACCGAAAACCAGTAACTTACGAATATCTTCTACTCTGACTGACCATGTTTCACAGCCATAAAGTAGGACAGAGCAAACTACTCTGCGCAGTATACTCGTCATCTGGTTAGCAGATGGATATCTCGCCTACACCATAAGTGACGCAGGTTGGCAAAAGCCAGTAGAGACTTCTGTATCTGTGCTCGGATCCCGTCAGTCACCAGGCCATCGGCACTAATGGGACTCCCAAGATCAGTGAAACGGTCAATACGCTCAACCGATTCATTCTCTATCAGCAGTTCAGGTGCCGATGCGAGCCAATCATGAAGCAACATTCTGCATTTGGACAGCGAAAATCACATTCCGAATACGCTTGCACAGTTACTTGAGGTGGTCAGAAAACTCTGCATTTTGTCAGCATACTCATCAAACAGAACTATACCACCTGCATATTCTCAGTCAACAAGTGAATCAATCTCCTCGTAAGAGGCCAACTCCTGAAACGTCTGACAATGAAAATGTCGTCTTCAAAAGCATGTCGATGACAAAGTCAAATGTAAGTAGAGGTGGACAATTCTGACGGACACCACATGAAGTAATCATTTCGATTACTGTTCACCATAAGCTCTGACTCGACCAGTAGTGTATGAGTAGAGAGTTTGTACAAGGTTAAAGTACTTTGATACAACCTGCAATGATAGACGATGCCACTAAACCGCACGATAAAGAGTCAAATGTCGCCTCAAAGTCCAGTCTGAAACCAGCTTTATTTTTCGAGTTCGCTCTTCCCGAGCCCTATTTAAGCGTCAAAATATTGTCGAGGCTTACATTTTAGACACAGTATTAGCCAAGTCGATTCATCTCAGAATCGTTTGCAATGGCGCAGGTGCATCCATTCTTTCTGTTCTCTCGAATCCCAATCTTCTGGATTCGTCAACACTTCTACGTTTGTCTTATTAAACTTATCTCACTGAATTATACCTATTCAATAATATCTTGGAACCTTAATCTTCTCCACGAGCAGTAATTCTTCTACTATCTCTACCACTATGGGATTTGAATTGACAATTGCGTCTCTGTGCTAATGTGGTATGGCAACATGAACTGATGTACTTACGTACGAAGTTCTACGTTGCAGCTGACTGACAACAAGCAGTAAAAATTAAGAACATGATTTAAAATTTTTATAAACTTACTCGTCCACGACACATTGGACAGGATATAACACCAGAATATATTGTTCGCTTCCAATGTAGAATAAAACAATCAGCTAAAAATGACAATGATGTATTTTTATAGAAACTAACGACGAATTGATAACGAAACTAATTATTCAAAATGCTGAGCACAATTAACTTTTCATATCAGCGTAGCCAAACTGCAAGATGGATAAAGTAATCAGTGAGCTTTGTTGTCTCATCTATGAAATCGATTTCTATATCTCTGAACTTATGCTTATTTGGAACTTGGTTAGCTCTTATGCATAAATATACTCATCCTGACCAATATATCGAACTGTATCTATACTTCTAATTTTGCAATCAGTCAAACATTCCACTGTATCTTGATTCTGATAATGCTAAAAAACAGTAAACCAATTGGTCTTTATACTCAAACGTTAAACTACATACAGGTGTCTAGCTATGATGAACAGTTAATTAAAAGCACCTTTTGAGTTGAAATACCTGTCCTACAAACATTTATTTATAATAGTCCGATTAATCGAAATATACATTTCGGAAGCCATGCCAGACAGTCTGATCCAGACATAATTAGCATATGAGTTAGGATAACTAACAGTTAAAATTGAACAGATTTAATTAGGCATAATCTTCAAACACTATGTTACATTCAAGTCAGTTTAACGGTTAACTCTAGACAAATATTTCTAAACTCCTTTGAAGCCTGTATTTTTTCTACTGCAATTGGATACAGAGCTTTTAACTTTCCTTAGAGCCATAGGTCTGATCTAATCCAAGTTATTAGTGGATAATGAGTAATTGTAGGATAACCGATATGTTAAAATGTTTCACCTATCGTCACACACAGCTGGTTAGAGAAAATGAGACTGAAAATTTTGCGCAATGGCTTCACAGGCTGTACATTTCTTCAATTTAGAAGATGTTAAGACTTATCATAAATTCTTAAAATCCCAGTAAAAAGCTGCCTTTGGCAGCTTTCGTTTTTAGAACAGACTTGAAATCATTCCACACTAGCCCAAGATTACGAACTTTACTATGTTACGGTAAGTTCACACCTAGTTTCTTTCAAACCAAAATCTTAGTAATTCAATCTTTGCGGAAAGAGTATAGGAATTTATGTCGTGGTTTTCCTGTGTCTAGTGTTGGCAAACAGGTGCTAGTGCTATAGTATGTTTCGCGTTTTCGAATGTGCTCTGAAAATTGCGAAACATTTTTCTGATCCCTTTTAATAGTTACTAGGGACGATATTACCAGTATTTTCACTGTTAGAGTATGTTATCATCTGATTGGACCGTGTCCTATATGACTAAAGTTGTTACTACCCAAAAAATGGTTGTAAAGGTATAGCACGTTAAAAATTATCACCATATAGATTTGAATAAAGTGGTCAGACCTGAGTGTTATTCCTATGGACTTGGTCTGGTTAACTAGATGTTTAAGTACCGCGATGTACTTACAACAGTTGAGTCTAACTATTTGGAGGTTATACGGCAACAGCATTCGTCCTTATTAAAATTCTTATAGTGTCATTTCAGTGAACGGAACATAAAAGACAGTAATATAGAACTTAGTAACATGTTTACGCCTACGAAAAAATATTCTTTTATGAAAAATGGGAAAGAAGCAGGACCTATGCTTGTGATATTAATAGTTGATTCATTAAGTCAGAACCATTTGACTGTATTTCATTCCCTATCATACATTCACAAAACAGACTACATTCAGTAGAAACACTGCGACGAACAAAAACAAGCTAAGGGATGATGTAAATTACTACTGAACTACTGAAGTTTGTAACGTCGTCAGTTAGTCAACAACGACATAGAACATCATACGTTCAGTTCAAGCTGCCATTACACACTAGCACAGATATGCAATTTTCAATTCAAATCCCATAGTAGTAGAGGTAGTAGAAGTGTTAGTAGTAATCGGAAATTTTAGGGTTCGACGATATTATTCAAGAAGTAGAATCTAGTGAAATAAACTTAAAGGCGAAACATTAAGATAATGAGGAATTCAGGAGGTTAGGATTTGAGAGAACACAACGAATGAATGAACCTGAGCCATTGCAGTTTCCAGCCAGACCATTCAGGGTCTTTGCCCATCGATTACTAACATCTCGCAGACCCCAATCAGGTAGTCGACACCTACCAGTATGACTCAGTCCACTTGTCAGTGACCTCATAGATTTCAGTCATGTTTTTGTCTGACCGCGGCTAACTTCCTTCTAACCTATTCCTACAATGCAAGGCATAGCTCGACGAGGCAGTCGGTAGTTAGGTATACGTAACACATGTCCCAACGTTGTGATGATCAGAACTGAATATTAGTTAATATAGTGCTTTTTTGTTCAACAGGACTGAACCGCCATTCAGTATCCCATTTGAGAACAAGGATATTAGGAAATTGTAATGCGGTTTATTGTAAAATGTATTGACTAAGTGCTGATAATTTAAAATTATCTGATAAAACTCATTACTGCTGGTTGTTATTTTCCTGGGATACTAAATACACCCGTTAACCAAAGGGTTGGCCGTCATCGCACCGGAGTTTCATGAGAAATATTTTTGATAGACTTACAAAACCTTTAACTTATTTTACCATTAATACTCTAGTATAAAAAAATAGTGACAAAAAATTTACGTGACTTAAACAAACCGTAATTAGGACTATAATTGTTTCTTTAATAAGGGAACGTAGCTACATGAATACCGAATCAGAGACAAAATCTAACATATCATAACGAAGTGTCTATATCTGCCATTTTTAAGACAGACGTCACAAGTTGCGAAATGTGTATACTCGAATAAAATCATCTTATCGATCATACTTCGGTTTAGATAATGAATGAACAAATGTTCTCGATTTCCATTATGACTCCGGTAGACTTAAGCACATAAATGGGCATTGCAGTCACTGTTTTCGATGGAAGATAGCTCGTTAATTTGTTCATCAAATAACACAGGTTCAGACAACAGGTTGACCCAAGTAATGACCGACTGGTTATTTTTTTAATGATTCTTGATTATAGTGGACATATTACCTACCAAAATCTAAGGTAGTAAAAAAAGATCCGCTCCAAAAAACAACCATCTACTAGTTGATTTTACGGTGCGTCTATAACTTATGAACGAAACAATCATATCCCAGACAGAATGTCGTAGATTTTAGCACAAAATATACTGATTCACAGACCTATATGGCATAAGGATATTATGACTGACGTCATTTAGTGATTGGAACCGAAATAATAATCCAAAACTCTAACCTCTAATTCTAACACAATAATCTACAACCTTATTTCGAGTTTATTAAGTGACTAGAGTTTTAAAAGAACACTTCAGTGTTGGTTAGACATCGTCCATACATTATACACCCACCAGTTTTGCTACTCAGTCAGTTAAAGTAAACTGAGTAGCTATAACTACTCATATCAGTGATTTATAAAAGCCAGTAGGTCCCTACACATCTTAGAGGTGTTAAATGTCACGTGATAACCGGGTAGACGATGCATGCTTAACAAAGACAATGAATAAAAACCAAGAAAGGGGGTTAGATATGCATTCATGAATAATGAGGTAACCAGGGACTAAAGACTTACCACAAAAACGGTGAGAACAGTTTGTTTCGGTTAGGAAAGAAGGGGACTCCATGCATATCGGGCAGTCATAATCTGAACTGCTTCTATTTCTGATTCCTGCCGACAACTGGATACTTCGTCTACGACGTGAGAATAATCGAAAATACCCCCTACCATCACAGAATTAACCCAACGATAATTAGGACGTGCATACCAAACAAACCGAAAGGCAATCGTTAAAAAAACGACAGCTGTAAGTGACATACAAATAACGACATAGTCGTCTATTGCTTCGAAAAGAGAGCCCATGACAATAAGCTCGTGAAACGAGCACCAAATAAAGTCAACCCCTGACTGAAACGAAGACTACAGATAGTTGTAATGTCCAGCTTTTGGTAAGTTTGTATCTAGCCTGTGGGTACTTTGTGTGATGAAGGTTTGAGGAGCAGCATATGAGATTATCTGGAATTGAAAAAAAAGAGAAAAAGTGAGGCGACGACTCAGTAGATACATAAAGTTCACTTAAGTAAGGGAAGTAATCGACAGCAATCAGAAATAACACAAATGCGCGATTAGGACAAACCAACAATCAGAACAAGGAGTTGGTAGCGTGAAGTTTCAAACGTGTTACGTATCTCCCTCTGATGGGAAATCACTATCCTAAGGGTTAGCGGTACCTGCGTTTGCTAAGGCTACGAGTAACCTCTGAGGTTGGTGCGTTACATTAAGTGGGATGGACTCTATGTGGTGCACACAGATGCGTGTGGCTAGTGAGTTACATACAGTTCAATATCCAATATCCAACATCTTTTTCACGAGCTAGTGTAAACCAATTTGATTTCTTCGCGCTCGATTCTTGTTCTTTCGGTACGGTTCCAGGTGTTCGGTAATGTCCAATGAATGGAGGTCTAGCCACTCGACTATCAGATTCTAGGCAGTTGGTTGTGAGTTTTTATGTCTCGGGATTTGAATGAAACGTTAGTTTCAGGGCAGTAGGGTTTCTGGATACTAGCAGCCGTCACATTACCAAAGCGGAGATCAGTTAGTTGCAATGTGGAGGGTAATAGGAGTAATGAGGATAAAATTGAAATGATAATATGTATAAAATTTCAGAACTGAGTAATATATAGGTGAGTTTAGTTTGTTGATTGGTAGTGAAGATTGTGAGAGAGGACCGAAGTGTAAGCAAGGGAGAGGAAACAGAGATAATAGGCGAGATAGATTAGTTGAGTGATCTGAGGAGATGGCAATGGTAACAACTAGCAGGTCTCAAGATATGCATCATGAACAGCTTGTCCAAGAGGGAGATGATAGTCCGTATGTGAGTACGTGATTATCAAGTCTCTTCTTGAGGCAGTCCACTGGGGGGGCTGTGGTAACCTCGGCTGGGAAAGCATTCCAAGTTGCTAGGACTCGCAGTGAGAAAGTGTGCACGAATCTGAGTATTCGCTCTTTGATGTGCAATCTTTCGAGTATTGCCTGGAGGGAAGTGGTGGTGATGCATCGGTGTACGCCATAATCAGATCACCTCTGATTCTCCTGTAGCTCAGTGGAAAAAATCGCAAGAGCTGGAGCCTATCTTTGAAGCATTTGTTCTACAACCCTATCACCCATTTCGTTGCTCGTCTTAGCACTCGATCCAAGAGAATAATGTCTCTCTTATGCAGAGGGGGTGCGATGACGTTGTGAACCTCCAAGTAGGGGCACGCGTACGTCCTAAACAGGGTTAAAAATAATTTCTGGGTGATAGCACCAAGCTGTCTTCGCATGAAGTGAAGAGTCGCATTTGCCAAGGTTGCAGCCCCCTCACAGTTTGGACTGGTGTGGAGGCTTTCTGTGGTTATTAAACCAAGATCGCGCTCTGAGGAGACATTAGGGAGCGGACTTCCATTGAGAGTGTAGGTGGTTTGCGTCATATGAGGCAGGAAATGCATGACGTGGCACTTCCGTTGGTTGAGTTTTAAACCGTTTTTCACTGCCCCTCAATGGATGTAAGGTCCTTTTGAAGCTGAGTCGAATCCTCTTCGCTTCTAATGGACCTCCAGGTCTTCGCATCGTCTGCGTAGATCAGTGCCGGTGAGCTAACTAAGCTTAGCAGGTCGTTAATGAATATTAGGAAGAGGAGTGGGCCTAGGATAGTCCCCTGTGAAACTCCTGAAGTGGATACTCTCCAACTCGCGTGCACCCTGTTTACCTTGGTGCGAAACTTTCTATCCTCAAGGTAGTTTCTGAGCCAAGATAGGAGTGGATCAGTGAAGCCCATTTCCACAACCTTTCCGATTAGGCGTGCGTGGGGCACTGTTTCAAAGGCTTTATCAAAGTCGAGAAATATTACGTGAACTGGTACATTACGGTCCAAACAGGATGTCCAACTGTCCCATGCGATGAGAAGATTAGATGCACAAGACCTGCCTTTCCGAAACCCGTGTTGAGCTTCATGGAGTATCTTATTCTTAACCATGTACTCCCTCATTTGTTCATGCACTAGCCCTTCCATAACTTTTGGTAATATTGGTAGTAGTGCGACTGGTCTGTAATAGGCCTGGTACTTTCTATCTCCTCTTTTGAAGATTGGAGAGAGAATAACTTGTTTCCATTCCGCTGGGAATTGGTGTGACTCCAGTGAATGCCTGAACAGGTTGCATAACGGTGAACAGAGGACCTCAGCACACTGTTGCAAGACTATAGGGCGGATTTTGTCACAACCTGGTGACTTACCTGGGCGTAAGGATTTTAGTTTCCCTAATACTAGGTCAGGAGTGATGCGGATGTTCCCTAAGTCGTCAGGTGGCATTGGGTTGGCGTAATACTCTGAACATGTAGGCGCCTGGTTTAATTGATCAGAAAAATGGGTGTTGAAGATCTCGGCCATGTCTAGGTTGGTGAGGTCTTCCCCGTTTGGTCCTTTCAGAGAACACAACCCTTGAATAGTAGGTTTTCTTTTGGACATGAACCTAAACAGAGACCTTCGACTTGTACCAGGCTTTCCTCTTTGCCTGCCGCGCCTAACCCAGGTTCTTCTGTTCTCGCGTTTTTAGTGTGACTGAGGTACGTTGTCTACGACAGCGTTTTGGATGATATCTCTTACTGCTTGCCAGTGATCACCCTCTGTCAGCCTCCACCACTCACGTGGCCATGGGGCATGTAGGAGCACCTCTCTCATGCGTGAGTAGTTTGCCCTACTGTAGCAAAGGTAAGGCCCGTTATCGTCCGGTGTCAGCGTTTCGTTTGTGACCATGTTAAACAGGACTGTGCCATGGTCATTACTGCCTATTGGAGCGCGGATGTGAACATCTTCAACCAGGAGCTGGTCGTTCGTTAACAGATAATCTAGGTTTGAGGACTTCCCTTCCTTAGTCCACCTAGTGGCGCTGCGTACGTGCTCAGTCAGGCCAGAGCTTCTAATGGCTGTGCCAAGCTGTCTTTGGAACCAACCAGTGGGAGTTATACTCTGATTGCTGAGATTTAAAGATGGGGTATTGAAGTCTCCGGCTAAGAGTATTTGATCAAACCCTAGGAGTGGCAGTCGCAGTATTACCTCAATCAGTTTGCTTTTCTGAGCCTTAGTATCCGGAGGTCGGTAGATCCCCCCAATCAAGTATGTCGTGACATTCGAGTGGAAACAACACCAATATGATTCTGTCACCTCAGTTAGTTGGGTGTCGTATAGTGGCTCTGCTTTTAAGTGGCTATATATATATATATATATATATATATATATATATATATATCGCCACTCCACCTCCAGTTTGGTGTTCCCTATCGCTTCGGAAGAGTCCCATGCCCGGTAAGCTCACTTCTGCGTCTGCAATGTCAGGGGATAGCCATGTTTCAGTAAGGATTACGATCTTCAGATCCATCTGAGAGCACATATTCCTGATTTCTAACAGCTTACCTCTTAGTCCTCTTACGTTGCTAAAGAGGCACTTGGTGGTTTGTCTCAGCACCTGGTGCACATTTGCAGCAGCAGCCGTCGTCGGATTTCCAGATAAGTTATTTAAACCGAATCGGCCAGTTCTGTGGGAACTGGCCTCTGCAGGTTTTTTGCCTGCGCGGTTAGTCCACGAGATTGTCGGCATATTGAATGTTTGTTTTTGAATGCTTGTGATGCACATACTTGGATTGTTGTTACCTATTTTTGTCGGTGAAAAGAACCAAGGTTCTTTTGGTCGGGAGTGTTACGGGAGAAATGAAGACATTTGGCTGATTAAAACCTTTACATAAATATCATTAATTTCACTGTTTTTTGGGTATATTTGTTTTACTTAACTTATGAACTTGTTTGAATTATTATTTTAGGTCATTTTGGATTCCTGTTTGTCTTGGTTTGGTCGTTTGCAGTTTTTGCCCCAGGAACCTATAAAATTGAAGGTTTTTGTCGTTATTATAATTACTGTTGTTAGAACGACATTTTGGTCGACTATTTGTAAAGTGCGAATAAACTTTGGTACCTAACTTTGGAGTTTGGTTCTGTTGTTAATTTGGGTTCGTGAATTACAAATAGATCGACATACTGTACTTCAATAACGGGAAGGAGCAAAACTTGGATGTAACAAAGGTTCTTCAATTTTAATTCTGTTGCCATACATTGGATACGTCTGGACATTTTGGGTCCAATTTTTGGTCTTATCAGTCGAATTCGTTTGGGTGAATTCACAATTGCTTGGCAACGGATTTTCGAACAAAGGCATACAATGGAAACCAGAAACAAAAAGCCGAAGGAAAATGACGAAATGGATGGTAAAGATTCTAAAGCTGTCTGTGGTATATCTGATTTTAATTATGATAAACGTGACGATATTACTGTTAATAGTAAGTCCTCAGCTCAGTTTAGTACTTCTAGATTGAGGTTAGTTAAGCATTACTAAAGAAGAAGAATTTGGAAAGGAGACTTGAGTTAGAAGGGCAGCTTAAAATGTTAGATCTTCAAGAGGAGGTTGATATGGTCGAATTAGAATGTAAGGTCATGGAAAACGATAACCGACTGTCAGTAGACAAATCTGAGATAAATGCTAAGGTGGAAAGGTACTTGGATTGTGACATTGCGCGTAATAAGCATTCCGTGGAGGTATTTAACACCTCAAAATGCGATTGGAATGATGAGTTAAAGGGTACGTTACGTACTACGGTTAATAATACGGTTTTGCCTAAAATCGATATGATGTTTTTTGACGGACAACCAAGCCAGTACCACCGTTTTATTAGTCAGTTTACTGGCACTATAGAGAGTAAACTGTCTGACAAGTGCCAGTTGTTGTCATATTTTTCATACTATTGTAAAGGAAAGGCCAGAACGGCTAGTAAAGTTTGTAATTCCTTGCCCAGTCACTTGGGTTACGATAGAGCTAAACAAATTTTGTATGATCTATTTGGTAAAGAACATCTTGTCGCTCGTAATCTTATTACTGAATTACTTAGCCACAAACCTGTTGAAGGATCCGCCGATGGCCTAAATGACTTCGTAATTAAGCTACGTAATGTATGTATATGTCTGATGTAAATTCTATGGCTAATCTGGAAATAATTGTGTCACGTTGTAGAATTCTTTTTGAATGTTTTGTTTTCTGGAAAATCCCTCCATGTTTACATATTTTTGCTATGACATGATGGACTTTTTCTCTTGACATTTTTGGTATTTTTAATTTGATTCCAATTTGAGATTTTATCGATCCAACTATGTGTTTAGCTCTATCGTAACCCAAGTGACAGGCAAGGATGTTACAAAACTTTACTAGCGCTATGCCGGGCCTATATTCCTTAACAAATTTAGTAAATTTGAAGAAGAATATGACAACAACACATGG